AATCTGGGAGTTCAATTGTTGAAGAAGGCTGCCATGGAGGCAGTGCAACCCTCCTTAACTCCTACAAAGAAAAAAATTCAAGTGTTCACCAACAATATGGTTAAAAAATGCCTATATTTCTAAAATAGATTAGAAACATCTGGAACACTTTTCCTCAAATTCTGTTCTTCCATCTCAATAAGCAACAGTGAGCAAGGAATACAATTGAACACGAACAATAGAGGCCTATGACCAGAGCCAGCAGAACCGACGCCAGGCATTGAAAGTACCCTGGCTACTGCAGTGTCTGCACAATAAAGGAATTCCATCTTAACCCAAGGTCAATCTTCTATTCTTTTAGCAACAGTTGTGGCATCTGCCCAGCAATTCAAAGACTGTGGTGGCAGATGCAGCCAGACAATGGGAGATAAAATTTTACATCAACATCTACTTTTCCTAGGATTCAAACAAGGCAGACGAGACAGTGAAGGCAGGTAGCAGACTGCTTCCGTCACTGTATTTTTACTGCTACCCTTTCTGTATGCAGACAGTGGAATTGGGTAGGAAATTTTCCCATTGCTTTAAAGTAATTTAAAATAAGTTATTACTAAACACTGATTTACACTCCTCTAATCACTAACCCTCATAATAATAGATTTGTTTTTAAAAGGACAAGTAAACAGATAAAGTGCTAGTCACTCAGAACTATGCTATGAAGTGTATAAAATCCCTCAGTATTTCATTTGTTTGAATGCACCATTTCCAGAAGGTATGTTTACACTTTTTACTTGAGTAATTTTTTATCATTCAAAGTAGAATTAAAGTAATAACTCAAGCCATAACCCCGCCTGCTGGCAAAACATACATGTTCAATATAAAACAAAAGTGAGTATTTGATAATTTTTTGGTTTAACATTTTAAAGAAGGACAAAGTATACTAAACAAATTATGCAAACTCTGTGGACTTATTGTTCATAGTAGTCTCCCATTAAACATAGGTGATATGTTCCAAGACCCCCAGTGGGTACCTAAAACCCCTGATAGTACCAAATCCCACATATACTGTTTCTCCTACACATGCACACACTTTACAGCTTCACTTTGGCATATCTGAATTGCCAGCATCACTACTTCTGTGCTGTGGGGCCATTATTAAGTAAAATAAGGGTTACTTGAACACAAGCCCTGTAATACAGAGACAGTCGATCTGATAACCCAGCCAACTCTAAGTGACTGTCAGGCAGGTAGTGCATACAGGGTGGAGACACTAGACAAAGGGGTGATTCACATCCTGGTTGGTACAAAGGGAGACAGTATGAGATTTTATCACACTACTCAGAATGGCACACAATTTAAAACTTATGAACTGTTTATTTCTGCAATTTTGCATTTAATATTTTTGGATCAGGGTTGACAATAGATAACTGAAACCACAGAAAACAAAACGGTAGATAAAGGGGACTACTGTATATTTTATTCACAGGGTAAAAGAGTCTGTTTTTACAACAGCCTTAGTTTTAAAGGAAAAGACATCAAGTGCATGTCACCTGGCTTCTCCTTTGACACAGACACCAACTAAGTTCCAACAACAGGGGATGTGGGTCTGACCTTTCCTCAGTTTGTGATAATCTCAATTGTCTTTGAAAGATGGCACATCCTCATTGAAGGATTCAGAAAGACTAAGTCTGCTTCTCCAGGCCTCCAAGTTAAAGAAGGTTTCTATATCCTGGGACACAGTCTTCCCAGCACTAACCTCTGACTCAGGATCACCATCTGAGGGTGGGGAGTGGGGAGAGTGGGGCATACCCAGGGATCTGATGTACTAACTCTGAACAGGAGGTTGTATTACCTCTTGCCTTTCCTGACCTGTGTCTATACGACAGTGTTTGAGGAAAAAAGCTTACACCTATCTCTTAGCCCACTATATAGTACCATACTGATGCCAATTTTTCAACAGATATACCATGGCATGCAATATATTCAAGCCAGGTCAATAAAGGCACTGTAACATAATATTCTATAATCAAACTTCTCACATGGTAAAAACACTAGTTAAATCTAAGGACTATATACTTTCAATATTGAGGGCAGGTTACAGAAAGACAATACTCCTTAAGCTCTATTCATTAAAATAATTTTTCTAAAGTTGTATTTTCCTGGGGAATTTTGCCTTAGTTATGTTGGGTTTAAAATGAGCAGCAATGCTAAATAATGGGTTTGGAGTCTTCTGTGTGCTGGCATGTACAACATTATGCTTTAGAGGACAGCTCTTAAAAAAAAGAATCCAATTTTGTTATTAGATTTTGAAAATCAATATATCCCAGGTAAGCTGTCCTATTGGTTAGCTTTTCTTTAGAGGTAAAGCATTATGTTAAGCTTCTTTGGGTCTCTAGATATTTGGCTTTTAAAGATCCACATCTTGAAATGATTAATTTTACTAATAACAACTGATGTTAGTTTACTCAGATTGCTTTTACTCTGAATGAAGATGATTTTATGAATCTGTAAATGTAATTTCACACCTTGTTTGTTCTATAAAGAATTTGATATTTCCCCTGTGCTAATCTATAATAATAAAAGCGTAATATGCTAATTAGACCAGACGTCCTTCCGGACGACCTTCCTGACAAAGCCGGGGCTGTGAGGGAAGCCTGGGTCCCAGGTGCCAGAGGGAAGCTGGTGCCGGTAGCCAGGGGAAGGAAGGCCTACTCTTGCATGAATTCATTCATCGGGCCTCTAGTATTAATTAAAGCAAGGGTGACCCTGTTTCTTTGGCAGAGAAGGAAATGAATATTTTTATTGCTAATCGTGTGCCTGGCTAAATCAGTTCAAGAATAGTATATAATAGGTCATGTTGAGGTTGCATAACACCATTACAGTATGGAAAAGGGCAGCAAA